GAGGCCCACAGTAGGACCTGAGAGGCCCTCGACCCCCCAAGAGGCCCAAAGAGGTTTCAAACCTGCATCCAAGACAGGGGGCCCGGCCTTCAACAGAACTCCAACAAAACGGCCTCCCCAACGTAACGGAGCACGTCCCACCCAATAGCGGTTTCTGTTAAGATCTTATTCAATGTCACGCCCTTCTGAAACTCTCTTGGGCCCTCCCTGGAGAACCTTGCGAGCCTCCCTGGCGCTCCTGGTGGCTTTCCCTGAGGGCCTCCCGAGCCCTTCTCCGTGCGCTCCTGAGACGCATCAGGTGGGCTTCGACTTTAACGCACATCCTCGAGAGACTTCAAGACTGCCCCCAGTAGGAGGGGGGCGAACGAGCAGTGCGCCAGGGCCAAAGCTGCTGGAGCGCTGCAAGAGCTTGGACACAAAGGTGCGGTCTCGCTGCATGCCGCCGCCCTGGTCGCCGCGCTTCCAGGTTTCCGGAGAACCTCCGCCGTTCTTCCGAGAACCAGTCCAGAAAGATGTCGTGGACGGAGTCCACGGGTCAGCCCTAGTCTCGGGCCGGGCGAAAGGGGGGTTTGGGAAAAGGGGGGGGTACGAAATTTGCTGCATGCAGCTGTTTTCGGTCTCACCGAGGGGTCCATTCCTCGATACATAGCCGCCTCTGGCGCCGGAAGGCGCCGGGAAAATCAGCTGCGTGAGCTCATTCTCAAACCCCCCCTTTGCTATCCCCCCCTTTCGCCCGACCCGATAGTCAGCTGCAGCACAGGGATCAGTGCGCGTGAGAAAGGCGAGCAGTGACAGCGGGCCGTGACTCTGCTCGGCGAGATGCTGGAAGCGAAGTTGGGGCCCGACGTCTGCACGTACAACGCCGGGATCGGTGCGTGCGAGAAGGGGGAGCAGTAGCAGGGGGCTCTGTTGCTGCTCAGCGAGATGTGGGAGTCGACGTTGGAACCCGACGCCATCAGCTTCAGCGCTGGGATCAGCGCGTGCGAGAAGGCCGTGCAGTGGCAGCGAGTTTTGGCACCATTCAGCGAGCTGTGGAAGGCGAAGGCGGAACCCAACATCATCAGCTATACCGCTGGGGTCAGTGCGTGCGAGACAGCGGAGCAGTGTCAGCAGGTCCTGTCGCTTTCCGGCGAGATGATGGAGGCAACGCTGGAGCCCGACGTCGTAAGCTGCAGTGTGGGGATCAGCGCGTGCGAAAATCGCGAGCAGTGGTAGCGGGCTCTGGCGTTGCTTGTCGATTTGTGGAAGGCGAAGTTGGGGCCCGACGCCATCTCTCGAATGTGGCCAGCATCGGCCCGTGCCCGAAGGCGGGAGGCTTCCCAAGAGGGCCCCGAGAGCCCACTGTCATTTCTTGTCATTAGTTTTTTTTTTTTTGTTTCTTATGATTTTGACGTTCTCGTACTTCTGGGTTTGAGACGCTCCAAGACGACCCAAGACAGGCCCCCAAGAGGGCCTGTCCAAGGTGGCCCCAAGACCGCCCAGGCCGCCCCCAAGACGGCCCAAGAGGGCTCAAGACGGCTCATGAGGGTCCCATGAGAGGGAATTCGATGTTACGTTCCGTGCCCTCCGTCTCAAGATGACCCCCGAGACCGCCAGCTGGCCCCCAAGAGGCCCCCCAGAAGCCCGAGGAGGCGCCAAGAGACCCGTTCAGTTTCCAAGAGGCCACGGAGAAGCCCCAGGACACCCCCAACACTACCTCCAAGAGGCTTCCGATGGAAGATCGGACTGCGCCAGCTACTTAGATATTCGGCACCCAGGCGCTTCTTTTTTATTGCCTTCGTTGGAGCGGCCCCGGTCTGACTGGGTGGCCCATCGGGGAGTTCTCCCGGAGAGTGCTCCAGAACCGTCGGCCACCAGGGGCACGCTCCGCAGAGCCTTCTGCCTTCTCTCGGGCATACGTAGCCCGCGCGCATCCTCCGACCTCCTCGGACGGCACGAAGCAGAGCCGGCCAAAAGCAGCACCCTGCAGCTACAAGCAGCAACGGCACGCAGCAGCGGTGAGCATTACCAACAGCACGCAGCAACGGCAGCAAGCAGCAGCAGCAGCACGCAGTAGCGTGCGCGGAACGTGAAGTTTGAGGCTCACGTCATCATGTCAGCCCTTGGCAGGATGTCCACCACCACGTGCCAGTTCGTGTAGACTTCGTGGGCGTAGTCCACGGATCAGCCCTGGTCAGCTACAGCGCTGGGATCAGCGCGTGCGAGAAGGGCCACCAGTGGCGACAAGCCTTGGCGCTGCTCATTCGAGTGATTCGCAGGGGGCGCAAGCGGTGCAGGGCGCTGGTCTCCAGGGGACTCGTGCCTGTGGGCACCTACGGCGACGGCGTGACTGTGCAGGCGTGGTCCCGCATCGAACTGCTGCGCAGGGCTGCCCACCTGGCCTTGTGCCTGCGAGTGCACAGCAGGTCAGCCACCATGGACCTCTCCATCCAGTCTGCGCCGCACGCAGTCGATCCCACCTACGCCTGCATGACGGGGCCGATCGGCAACTTCGCGAGGGCGGTCTGGGACATGTGGTTGACGCGCGAGTGGCCGACCAAGCTGGCCTACGCTGCCGACGCGGCGTTTGCATCAGGCACGGACGATAAGGACTGGCAGCTGGTCACAGGCCCCGTGAGCGCGGCGGTGGCGTCGGCCAGGCGGCTTGGCTGGACGGTGCTTGGCACGCCGCGCACTTTCCGCTCCGACCACGGCCTCCGGGTCTCGGGCCGGACGAAAGGGGGGGATTGGGAAGGGGGGGGTTACGAAATCTGCTGCATGCAGCTGGTTTCGGCCTCACCGAGGGGCCCATTCCTCGATACATAGCCGGATACATAGCCGCCTCCGGCGCCGGGAGGCGCCGGGAAAATCAGCTACGTGAGCTGATTCTCAAACCCCCCCTTTGCTATCGCCCCCTTTCGCCCGACCCGAGGGTCATCCTCGTGGAGCTGTGCCCCAAGACGGCCGCAGTGCTGGTGCAGCGCTCCGCGCAGCGGTGCTGCTTCCGGGTGCGCGTGCCCGTCGCCCGTGCGCGGGCCTCTCGCGCGAGACCTCTCCTGCAGCGGGCGCCGACCACGGGCAGGGGGTCGGCCGGCTGGGGCCCGGCCCACCCAGGGGGGCTCGTCCGCGCAGGCGTCGGGCAGTGGCACATTCGATGCAGCGAGGCGCCACGACGCGGGGCTGCAGGCGTCTCGCCTGTGTCCGTTCTGCAGCGGCGAGGCGGGCGCGCTTTCAGCACACGGCCTGGGGCAGCTGCGTCACCGCGCGCGTGTGGAGGCGCGATTCTGACCTGCCCGTGAGCCTGATTCTGCAGCCTCGCAGCCAGATTGGTGCTCACGGCGGGCCGACGGCGGGGTGGGCTCGTGCCCGACCCTCGGAAGTTCCACCCCTCGCCCTGCTCCCTCGTTCTCTCTTGCGTGGGACGTGCCTCCCGCCGGCGGTACCCTCGAGGGTGATGTCTTCGGTGACGGATCCGTTTTGGCCGTGCGAGTGGGGATCCCCCTCTGCGCAGGGCGCGTTGGGGCCTCTCTCAAGTGTCGCCGTCGGGCACGGCCGCGGCCCTGGCATATTGGCCCGTGCCGGGGCACGCGCAGGATTCGGAGGTTGCGGAGGGATGGGCCCTCCCTTTCGGGGAGACGTAAGGCTCGAGTAAGCCCGAACTCGGGTTTGCCGAAGTTTTTTTTAACGAGCGCGTCCTGGATTTTGACGGTCAGGCTTTCGTGGGATTTCTGCAGCGGGAGACATTTCAGATTGGGCCTCGTCATTTCATGATGGCCCCCGTCAGGCCAGCCCGAGTCCCCCGTACCCGAGTCTTACGTCTCCCCGATCCTTGCATGCCTGAAGTTTCGCAGAGTGAAGGACATTGTTTTTCCCTGACTGCCAATGGGTGGTATCCTCGTTCGCCAAATGGCGCTGGGAGACTACTCATGCCAGGTGTGTCGCGGCCGACTCGTGGACGGCTATCCGGGACGCCCTTGGCGATTTGCAGGGTGAGGTGCGGGTATGCAAGGTCAAACACAGCGCATGCCAGGGCAAGCGACGACGACATTAGCTCTAACGCGCGCTATCTTCGGCTCGGCAACGCAGAAGCCGATCCTGCTGCACGGAAGGGCGTCTGCCCCCATCCCAGCGATGAGTCTGCTGAGCGGAGGGTGGAGGGGGCATTCAACTCAGCGCAGTGTGTGAGGCCAGCTCATCGGTCGGTTCTTGCATGCGTGGCCGCTCCCACAGCGGGATCGCAGCCCTGTGCTTTGCCGCCGTGCCGCTCCTGTCCTCGCCGCCGATTTCCCCGTGCAGGACGGGAGGCACGATCTTCTCAGGTTCTTTGGCAAGTTTCCTTGTGTTCGGTGCCTGCGCAGCGGCACGCAGATGTCTCACCTACCGCCTCACTGCAGCCTCGGTGGCCGACGCCATCGTCTGGGGTCGGTGAGTAATTACATCTTCTCTGCACCATGTGGGTGTTGCTCGCGTGACAACACCAGCGGAGGGTTGCCGCGAGCGTGTCGAGACAGAGCGCCACCGGTTTCCGCCGCGACCGGCTGTGGGGGCCGCGGGGTCCTCGCAGCGGTGAATCCTTGGGCGCCCGTCGGCCCCCGGCGATGGACGCCAAGTGTCGGGTCTCGTCGTCTTGCTGGATGGCCTTCAGCGGCGGCGAACATGCAACGCTGGCATCTTAGCCTTTCGCCGTGCCGCGCGCCTGTTTCTTCTCCTCCTCCCCCCCTCTTCCCCCCTCGTTGTGGCTCTGCTCTGGGAGGGGGCTGGCGCCTTCTAAGAAGCCGCATCCTTCCGGCGGCGCCGGTTTTTGGCAGGGAGGCTTATGGGGCCCTTTGAGCTGGCTAATTTGATCATCCTTGTGCTCCTCATGCTGATCCTCCTCCTCCTCCTCCTCCTCCTCCTCCCTCCTCCCAAGCCTCCTCCTCCTCTTCCTCCTCGTGCTCCCCCTCCTCCTCTCAGCATCCTCCTGCTTCTCATCGCAGGCTCCCGCTTGCGCGGGAGCGCGCGTGCGGGGGGGCTGTTGTCAGGTGGTGTTCACCCTCATGGCGACCATCGACTCCGTCACTCTCCTGGCCGCCATGACCGGGCTGCTGCTCTCAGCCTGCGGGTCGCTGAAGAGCATCGCCGACCTGGAGCATGACATTGTAAATTCGTCCGACTTCCTGCAGAACATGGGCCGAGCGCTGATGGCTGAGTACGGCTTTCTCGTCCTCAACTTCGTGGCGTGCTTGCCCTTTCTGGGCAATTGGTGGATGGTTTATATACAGTATGCTTGGATTGTCATCAAGGCCCTCCGGTTTGCCAAGAAGGATCACGTGCTCGACGAGAAGGAGGTATACAAGAAGGAGGTTTACAATTATCACCGAAAGTGGCACATGGCGGGACTCTTTCTGTACCTCCCTTGCTGGTTTGTCCAGGTACGCTTCCGCGATTGCCCGCCAACGTGTTTCGAGAAGCTTTTGCCAGAGGTAATTCGATACAGCGTCAATGGGTGTCATGGACTGTTATACGTTCGTCGCACTCCTAAGGAGTCGCTGATGGTGGCGAGGATCAGGATCACGAGGAGTGGGAGGAGCACGAGGATCAGCAACTGGATAATCATGATGATTGTGATGATGATGATGGGTTCGGTAGTGGTGATGGTGATGGTGATGATGACGCTACTGATGATGCTGCGGATGATGAAGAATATGATGATGATGATTACGATGATGATGATGCTGATGATGATGGTTATGTTGTTGACGATGGTGATGATGATGCTGACTGACGGTGCTGAGTATACTCTTGATGATGACGCTGTGATGAGGCTGACGCTGATGCAGATGATGATTAGGATGAGGCTGATGATGATGGTTATGTTGATGACGATGGTGATGATGTCGACAGTGACCATGCTGAACCTACTTTTGATGCTGATGCTGTTGCTCACGATGAGGCTGACGCTGATGGAGATGACGATTTTGATGATGGTGGTGATGACGATGCTCAGGATGCTGCTGATAATGATGCTGATAACGACGACGATGCTGTTGATGATGTTCGTGATGCTGCTGATGCTGATGATGATGAGAATTGTGATGAAGCTGCTCATTGTGATGATTTTGATGATGATGACGATGATGCTGATAAGCATGATGATTATGACAATGACGCTGCCGCTGCCGCTGCTGCTGCTGCTGATGATGATGATGATGATGATGATGATGATGCTGATGATGATGATGCTGATGATGATGATGCTGATGATGCTGATGCTTACGCTGATGATGATGAGAAGGAGGAGGGGAGGAGGATGACCAGTGTAAACCCAAGAGGCATCAACGATGTTGGGATACGCCCTCCCTCCAAGCTCCCTCTTCACAGGCCCCTACAACGGTTCATTTTCATTGAGGGAACTGCCTCGTTGGAAGACAACCGTTTGAAGACCTTTCAGCATGCTAGAATATAGGGTCTCCAACGCCACGGGTCAACCTGACTGTTGCGTGTTGACGTTCCAGACTCGCACCTGAACGCCATTCCTGGGACCTCAACGCAGCGAATCAACGTAACTGTTGCGCCCGTGTAATTGAACCCTTTCAAAACACCATTTCTGGTACGCTGATGATGAGGATCCGTGAAAGTCTTTCAAGCTTTTAAGCCGAATGTGCGCCGCGCTCAGGCGAGAGTCACATTTTGAAAAGGAGCCGTCCTCAATCTGCGAAGCCCTTGCAATTTTGTCAGACGAATGTGCGCCGCGCTAAGGCCAGAGCCACATTTCGAAAACGATCCGCCCTCAATCCGCGAAGCCCTTGCACATGTTTAAAACGAATGTGCGCCGCGCTAAGGTGAGAGCCACATATTGAAAACGACCCGCCCTCAATCCGTGAAGTTCTTGCAGATGTTAAAAAACGAATGTGCGCCGCGCTACGGTGAGAGCCACCTTTTGAAACGACCCGCCCTCAAGCCGTGAAACACTTTCACATGTTTTAATCGAATGTGCGCCGCGCTAAGATGAGAGCCACATTTTGAAAACGACCCGCCCTCAATCCGTGAAGCCCTTGCAATTTTTTGAATCGAATGTGCGCCGCGCTAAGATGAGAGCCAC